TTTTTTGGGGGGGTTGAAAGCAAGGAACTGAATCTTTCAGCATCCTTACCATGTCATTATAAATCACCAAGTGTTCACAATACGCCACTCATGATGGATCATGCAATCAAAATGCACGCATCATCAAGGCTTCTAGGAAATTTTGACTAAATGCTTTAAAGCCACAATTATATGCCTGATACTGGATTTTGATTTGATCTGTCAAAAGTTTGAAAGTCATTACCCAAAAAGAAAGGACAGCAGACATCTGCTCAACCAACTTTATTTTTAATTTCGCAAGTGTGTACTGACCTTTGTATTGAGACATATGGAAGATACCAAAGGAAAAAAAGACAAGATTCTTACCCTCAAAAAATTAAAATCAACTGTATACACACTGTGCAAGACAGTAAGACTTAAGGATATTTACTGAGTAGCATTTGAGTAGGGCAAGACAGCTCAGCACAGAGTAAACTCACACAAGGGGACATCATCATTGACTATGACAGGGAGTGGAGGGGGGCAATTGGGGAATACATACTGGGAGGTGGAAAAGCATTGGACCTGTGTTCTAGTCTCCAAGATACCAGTGGCTTATTATGGCCCTTGAGCAATTAAGCTCCACCTCTGTAAACTTCAGTTTGCTCAACTCTAAAACAGAAGGTGAGGACTAGATGGTCTCTAAGGTCTTCCAGCTATAACAAAACAGGATTCTAAAAACTAACACAGAAAACTGGGAGAAGTGAGAATATTACAGGAAAGTGAAAGTACAAGCACAAAGCCACAGAGGTAGGAAAAAACTAATTGCTTGTGCATGGGCAAGGTGTGTTGTACGACAGCAAGGAACTTAAGCCTATTTAACTATTCTAAAGATTGTGAGGGCAATAAACTCAGAAATTGGTGAAACAGAGTACTAAGCCAAGTGAAGGACCCTAACCTCGGGCCACAGTGGAGAAAGAGAGAATGTGTTTCCTGCAGTCAGAATCGGACCTAACTTTGTGCTCCCCACCTCACTCCACATTCTTTATGTCTTTGTGTAACTTTATTGCAACCCCTTACCCAAACCCACACCCCAAAATACAGTAAGAAGAGGGTGTGGTTACAGACACCCTCTGTCTAGATTCGCACAAGCAGCCCCTTTTTGTGCGCCAGGAAGCTGAGAGCCACTGCTGAAAAGATGGTGGTCAATCCAATGAGCTTCAGCAGGCCTGGCACGGAGGGCAAATGTCTCTCCAAGAAGGTCGTAGTGATGGGTTGCGCAGGGACATCCTGGGTTCAGAGAACAGCTGGTGTTAGTACAAAGCTTGTGCACTTCATTCCAGAAAATCTGAATTTCCTCCAGCTCTCTAAACATGACTCACTCTTGCCAATCTCTAGGCCATTAACCATGACATCCCCTCTGCTCATAATGCTCATCACCTCTTCCCCACTGGGCCCTTTACTTCACTTCCTTAGGGAGCCTTTCCTGAGTCACCAGCCTAGGATGGCCCCCTCTTTGTACATTTTCTATCAGCATGTCTTCTTCATCATACCTGTACTTTTTGGTTATCATCTGCATTTTCTACCAGATGTGGAGCTCCATGAAAGTGCTGCTGTTCCTTTACCACAACGGCTGAAGCAGAACCCATGTGTCATAAATATTTGTTGAGTGAATGAATCGATGACCCCTACATCCCACAATCCCATCTTTAGTGGAGGCATTGGTAGGATGATTTTGGAGTGGCCAAGTCTATTCTCTCTGACTTTACATTTAAAAGGCCAGAGGAATAACTTTGACCTTGTCCTCTACAATGTGTTTTCACTCTATCCTCTAGGTATCCTTCCTTTCAGCCAAGAAAACTTCCTGGGGTTTTATTACAAAATGATAAGTATATTAAAATGAATTTTTAGTCTAAATATGCTCAATTTCATTCCAACCCTTTGCCCTGG